TATACTTTTAATTGGATTATATAGTTTAGGAATTGTGGCCACATGTTAAAATTATTGGAATGCTATATTTGGTTAAATTGGTGTAATGTATATATTAATTGTGAATAACCTGTGTTTTGATTACTTCTTGGCTGTCTGACTTTGCTGAACCTCTGCATGTTCCTCAGAGACTGGGGTTATTCTAACACTCTCTTGCAGCCTCTGACTCGACCCTGTTTCTCCGAGACCCGATGCGGCTGCCCAAGTTGAGTTACGGTGAATGCTGGCTCAGACTCGCCCATTTTCTCGAGAGTCTAATTATTTATGTAGAGGTGTGGGTTGGCATTAGGCTAACTCAGCTACGACCTCCACAACTTTACAAACAAAACATATGAACATCTTTAAGCAAAATCTGTTCAAAACAGGTTTTCAGTTTCTCTTTTCACTGCAACAGATGTGTACGAAGCTCCTTTACACGTGGGCTCTCGTTTGTACTTCTAACATCAGTGTTATATACTGTGGTTTTGACAAATGTGTAGAAACTGCAAAAGGCTTCAGAGAAGAGAGACTGAAGACATAGTGCACCTAGAAGAGCTCATCAAAAGCAGCCACTAATGTTTGCACCTTGCAAAGTATAGGCTTCTGGTCGACAATGACATAGAATCTCTCAATCCTGTTCTTTTGTTCACAAATGCAGAGGAGGAGTGGTTGTGTCACATCAACTCTCTCAAGGAAGGCACTAAGACTGGCTCCTTCCTGCTGGTGAGGAATTGAATATACAATAATACAACTTAGTTTCAGGAGATTTTGGAATTTTCTCAGAGCAGGACAGCAAATACTGTGTGTGTGCATGTATATATTAGGGGCTTGGCAATTACTCAAAAATGAATCGAAACAGACATTCAGAACCTCTAATGGATGCAATCTTACCCATGACGATTATTTATTTATTTATTTATTTATTTATTTAAAATTCAGTTAATGAAAACAAAATTGTTAATACTTTCCCTAGTGTGTGTTCATGTACTGTCTCTTTAAACACATACAACTGTGTGTGTGTTATCGTGTGAATCAGTTACCTGTAATCATTTTAAGATTACAAATATATGCACCCTTTTATTTAAAAAAAAAAATGCAAGCTTTAATTGTTGAGCTTTTAGTTGTTGCTTTAAGTACAAACCTTGAGGGCAAAAGCACAGAAACAAAATAATTGCTCATTAATCGCAATAGATGTAAAATGCTCAATTAATCGTGATATTGATTTGAGGTGATATCGCCCAAGATATCTTACAAAAGTCTGGGTATCTCTAATGAAGCTGCTACCCCTGCGACCCGAACCCAGGACAAGCGGTAGTTAATGGATGGATGGATGGATGGTATTTGTTGATGTCAGGTCATTTTCAGTACCAGTCTTGAAAACACCACTGCCATGGAGTCACCTCGTAGCCAAAGCTGCTCCCACAGAGCAGATCAAGATTTCCTCATATTCATTCAGATGTAAATAAACATTGTTGGAAATGCAAATATTTATGGACAATAGGGAGCTAAATATGCTGTGTTTCATTATGCAAATACTCTGTTTCATAATGCAAATATTCCATTCTGCTTCTTTTCATTTTCACATTATTTGTAAAGCTGCAGCGTTAGAAGCTCCTTTGGAAAAGGTGAGTTTGTCCAACCAGTATATGTATGTTTGTATATGTTACAATATCTAATAAACATCATAACTCATTATTTTAGTGGTTCAGAATAATGAATAATGTTTTTAGATGGAGATTTGTGTGAAATTGTAAGCTTCCTGTGTTCCCCGACCATAAGACTGCCAGGTGAGCTTCTGTAGATGTGTAGAAAGATTTTGATATCAGTATTAATTCAAAAGCTTATTCTCGCGATTCTAAAGTGTTCTAACGAACTTACATTATATTATGAAAAAATCATGCTTGTTATGTTTCTACTACCGTTGAGCTCAATTATATTTAATCAACTGTGGAGTGAAATCCATCATGTGTTTGGCTATACAAAAATGCTCTTAACTGCTGTTTTGCCTTCCAAAGTTAATATGCAACTTTAATATGCAGGGCCGTACATTGTTAGGCTCTTTAAAAATCTCACTAAATGCTCACCAGGCATTTACAGTACTTTTCCATGTTGTTCAGTTTTAGTTCAGTTTCAGTTTTTTTTAAGAATGTATGAATAGTTTTAATTCCGTTGTTATTTTCTGAAAATTTACTTTTAATTTCGTTTCAGTATTAATTTTAGTTTTCAGTACCATGTTTTGATAACACACTGGAAGTAACTCAACTGCATGGTTTCACCATGTAGTAGAAACAGCTGAAAAAGTGCGAAGCATTTTGTTTTAGAAGATAGCCTGTTACTTGTAGTAGAGGGTAACCAGTCCAGCTTCTCTTAGCTATTGCCATATTACCTACAGGACAAGGTGATTTGTGTTGTACTGTTAAGATGATTGATGTAAATGGGTGATGGGGTGGCTGCGATGGGTTACTCCCTGCCTTGTGTCTGTAGCTTCCAGGACAGGCTCCGGATCACCATGATCCTGCATAGGACAAGTAAATATGGGGAATGGATTGACTTAATATGATGGGGTGGTGTGCCGCTCATGAAGTTAGGACTCCTGTAAACAGCCGGTCATTAGCTGAAATTTCAAGGTTTGCCAAGTAATGTTACTGTTGGGCCCTTGAGCAAGAAGGGACTTGCTGACCATCCTTCCTCAGTTTTATCACTTTGGATTATAGCATCTGCCAAATAAATAAATATAAATGTAATCTGCTTTTTAACAGGTAAGAATAACACAAGACATTCATGGCATGGATCGGGAAGTTCCTGTTTGGCTGGACCAGAAGAGTAGAGGAAAATACGGAGGTCCTCTTGGATGAACCATGGAGGAATGTTGCGTGGAATAATAGGTATGAAGCCTATTTTAAACAAATATTAACCTTAGCTTCTTAAAATCACTTTTACACACTTTTTAGGCATATGTTTTAAAATATATTTATGAATACTGTTAGGTCCTGACTTGGTTACCATGAATAACTTGCCCAGTCCCTCGTACAAGTTTTAAGCCAGCATCTCCCAAGTGCAGTTGCTGATGATCTTCCTATATCTAGTCTTTTAGATATGCACAAGACTAATAAACTCTAGGAATACCAGAACAACAGAAACTCAACAAGATTGGTATACAAGATTCATACTCGTTACTGAGTCATATTTTCATAGCTCTGCAGTGTTGCAGCGTGGGCAACATCCCTGATCTGAAGTATTATGATATCATCAACTAGTTCACACCACTTCTTGATACACGCACAAGCAGTTTAAAGCTCCTAAAAGTACATGCGCATGGCACTGGTATACGGGAAACTCCCGGAAAAGATCACTTACTAATCCTGTCAAAGGTGAAAGTTTTACCCTTATTGTATTAATGTTGCAATGTCTAATGACAGACAGAAAATACGTAAAGGAATTGTGTGTAAATTAATTTTGATATCAGCCTAGGGTTGGGCGATATGGTAGAATATTTTATCATGATTTTTTTCATACTGAATAATTTTGATAATTATCATGTTATAATTCAGTCATTATTTCTCTATTTCAATACTTAATTTTTATTTTAAATTCCCTTACTTAGAATCACCCTTAAACAGGTACTGAACATGAAAAAGGTGATAAATCGAACTGACTGCAAACTGAAATCTAAGTTATCTTAGAAAGATAAAAAAATAACAAACTTTTATGAGATTCACAAAAATGGTATATACTGTATAGTTCTCCTTTAGCATATCTGCCCCTTAGTGGTAACATGAAAACATGGCATTCTCCTCTTACTTGGCTTTACCCTCCATTACTCTCAAACTTAAAACAAATTCCCCACTTCGGGGGGTAGATAACCATGTAAAAAAAAAAAGAGCTATTAGTTTTGCAATTATAATAAAGTCAATCAGTCTCTTTGGCATCTTGATCTGCCAGTAAGACCTGTCCAGTTTTGGGGTGGGGATTTTGGGTTGTGATACCTCAGATGAACCCATTGAGATGGATTCCTCCCTGCTCTGTTCATTTCATTCTATTTGTGTCTTACTTGTTGACTGTGGTGCTGAGTCATCTGGTAAGAATTTTTTCACAAATGTAATGTTCTTGGAATATATGGATCCTGTTGGCGACGTAACAACAACACTCTTCCCATTGTTACTAATGACTGTGAGGTGTTTTGTTGAATATTGTAGAATGCTGGTCTGTCTGGTCCTGTTTTAGGTGAACATTATAGGAAAAAGAATAGAGTGGGCTTCCTTGCTAAAAGCAAGGTGTAGACTGTAATCAAGTCAAGCCAAAGTCCACCAATGAGTCAGTTGTCCACACTGGGCTGTGCAGGGTGCAGGTCAAATGTTAAATATAAAGAAATTTAAGAATTACTTTCTGATCTTGCATAACATTTACTTTGTTATATGTATTAAATAAAATTTAATCAAATTAAACCGGAACTTAAATAATACCCACTTTTATGACATAAAATATTTAAAATAAGCCAAAGTCTACCTACATTGTAAACCCTTCAAAGTGACAGTTACTCAAAACAATTGAGGAAATTTGTTGCCTCAAATGATTTAAATTTATACATTTCAACTTGAATGTTTTATTGGACACTCTGAAAGATTTAAGTAGATTAAATATAGCTTTAGTTCTTGTAACTTATCTTGTAATGAACTACAGTGTCCCTGAATGAATTTAATTACTTAAGCTTATAACATTGATTAAGGTCAGTTCATTTACAATTCTTAATTTCAGGAGCCAATTAATAAATCTACACTCTAAAAAATATTTCCTTCTTCCATTTAAAAATTCTTAAATAACTGATTTAAAATGCGCTTTGAGTGTGTCCAACATTTTTAAAGGTGCCATAGAATTAAAATCTGACTTTACCCAGGCATAGCTGAATAAGGAGAGCTTGGTACATGGAAATGACATGCGTAACTATAAAATCCTGTCGCTCCTTCTTTGGAAAATAATTACTGAACATGTTAAAGAAGGAACTAAAGCAGACTGTTTTAAAATTCCTAGACTGTTGCATAACAGTCTTAACCACAACCTCAGCTTAGCATATGCCAGCCCACTTTCAAGCTCAATGGACTAGTGCATTCAGACTTCAACAGTTCTACAGGTACTGTGAAGAACAAAGCAGAGGGCATCAGTGAAAATGGCAGGCCGTGTGCTTAAGTGTGTCACTCGAGGCTGTGATGGGGATGCTGGCACTTTTCATACCTTTCCTAAGGAACTGAAATGTCAGCAGGCATGGTTGATGTTCATCTATAACATGAAAGTCAGGCATATGTTTCCAAAAAGCATCAGTTAGCAAGTTATATAGCTGGAACCGTTCAGTTGCATGGTTCTATGCAAGTTGCTAAGTTTAAGGGCCCATAGAGAGTTCAAACAACATTACGAAGTCTGTGATACTTACATCGACAAGTGGTTTCTGTAATTCCTGTAGCATACTTTTGGTTAGCTAAACAAATATTTAATCGATCCTGCAGTAAAAACAAAACAAAAAAAAATTAAAGCATTACTCCAAATTTATTACAAGCAACACATTTACAAGCAGCTCACTTTGGAGTTCTTAATAAAACTTGCATGATGAAGCTAGCATCACAAAATTCATAAAATAACGTTAATGTTCTTATTACAATGCTGAAATTTACAATTTTCTGATGTTGGGCATAGACTGAAGTGGGACTATTACAGTTACGTGCAGCAAATTGTTCCAAGAAACATTAAATGACAAAACCTACCACTCAGACGCACTCTTCTGCAATCTCCGAGCAACTAGCTGTTCCTCAACATCTGATTCAGGCTCAAACATATATGGTTGGATGCCTAAAAACTCCATGTTTCACCTCACCTGTAGTGATCTATGTTGGTTCTGTGTGAGCGATTGCAGTGCCTCACTGTAAACCAGCCAATCAGTGTAGAGCTCATGAACATATTACTGAGCATGCAAAATATTAGGACTGTAAATGGGTCTATAAAATCACTTCTGGACATTTTTTGACAAACCAAGTATCTCAGTAAATGTGTTTATTACTTATTCATTACAGAGTAGTGTGTCGCGAGTAATTTTTCAGTTGGGCCCTTGAGCAAGGATATTAACATTAATTGCAACATGGACTGGGTGACTCTGCCTTCTCAAATGTTTGCAGCCTAGGATAAAAGCATCTAATAAATAGATAAATAATTAATTACTTTCTAACTAGACTGTAAGACACTTCTTCCATCATATGGTTTCAGTAGCTATTAATGAGACAACCTATTGATATGTGAATATTTGCATTCCGAATGTATTTTTACTTACTCCCATTTCCAATTCAATTTCTTTAGCACAAGAGCCAGACTCAAACAATCCCTGCTAGATTACAAGCCCCCTATCGATTCAGTGCCTCAGGCTCGGATTCTTCTAGTTGGTGCTGTTGGAGCTGGAAAATCTAGCTTCTTCAACTCCATCAACTCAGCCATACGTGGCAACATAACAAGCCAAGCTGTCGCAGGAGAAAAAGTGACGACCAGGACCATTGAGGTAATATGATTGGCTTCATGTCATGGTGCAAGACCTAAGTATTCAAATGTCCTTTTATAATGTTTTCACTAGAGAGGAGGGATGATGTTCTGGTTTCATATTTGCTCCATATCTATGATATGTTTAGTTTCAGTCTGTTAATCAGTTAATATTTGCTTTATGAAGAAACTGCTAACTCATATTTGAAACTTTGTTTTAACCCACCAAAAGCCCACATGACACAATGAGAACATGAAATCTCCATGCCCACGGGGCTGGATGCAGGATCAATACCCACCACGAGAGGTGTGAGGCTACAGTGCCACCCTCATCATATTCTTATCAGCATTACACACAGGAGACGTGGTCCTGAATTGTATTTTCCTTGAAATGAATTGGGCTGCAGGCTGCCCAATAACCTGTACTGGTTAAATATTTATAAGTGGTTCCCACCATTAATAAACCCACCACAAATACCAAAATAGTGGTCTCACTCTACATTTTGTTACGTCCCGGTCTAGGGTCAGGCGTAACAAAAGGTGGAGTGAGACCACTATTTTGGTATTTGTGGTGGGTTTATTAATGGTGGGAACGACTTCAGGAGCCGACAAGGCCAAAATAACAAACAAAACACCTCTAACTGGAACCTAAACAAGATACCACTTACCTAACCCAAACAACAGAAAACAAAAGTACACAAAACTAATCTACCTCCCTGACTATTTCCAAAACAGTGAGAAAACTTAATCAAAGCAAAATGGCGTCGTGCTCCCTACTTCCCTAGCTACCCACGGAGAACCTCAATGGGTGCAGATATGTACAGAAATTTACAGATGTTTACAGAACAGAATCCACAGCAACCAAATCCAAAGAAAAGGGCAGAAATCAATGGTCAAACAGCAAAAGGGGCCAAGCACAGTAAATCATCAATCATATAGTAAATAACAAACAAAGTACAAAGCAAGAGGCCTCCTTCTTCTTGGCCTGGACAGGCCTTATAAAGGAAGTGAATCTGGGACATAGGAGGAAACACGGCCAATCAAAGCAGAGGGGAAGGTGATGCAACAGTGGGCAGGGCCAGGAACAGAATGACACCCCCCGACACACAGAAACATCCACCCCTATAGGGAGTAACTTGTCCCTGGGGGTCGTAACAAGACTAATTAAATCATGTGTCTTTCTTCCAGTATCGCGCTTACCAAGTGAAGGCAAACCGAGTTGGACAGCCTCTCTCATTCCTCCTGTGTGACACCATGGGACTGGAAGCAAGTGAAAGTGGTGGGGTGAACATTAAAGATATTGACCACATCCTGAAGGGCTGTATACCAAACAAGCACCGTGTAAGAACTGTGTATCTAATCAAGCCTTAAAAACATCTACTGTATGATGACATACAGGCCTGATCCTTGTAATGTCACAAATTCATAATTTCTGGTCATCTCCTCAGACCCTTTTGTGAGGAAGCCGAATCTTATTCGTTGTTTTGTTTGTACCATAAATAAGGTACTATTGTATATATATATAAAAAACTCTTTTTTTTTAAATACTCGTGTTTCTCATGATCATAAAGTCAGTGCATGTTTGTAAGTGTCACTCCCACTTTTTTTTTTAAGTTCAACCCTGTATCACCATTGGAAACTTGTCACTGTCAGGAGTGTGACTCATCAGCACTTAAAGACAGGATCCACTGTGTGGTGTATGTGATAGACTCCTCCAAATTCGCAGTAATGCCTCCAGAAACAAAGAAGAAACTTCATGAGATCCAAGAGAAACTTGAATCCTATGGTTAGTGAGAGGGGAGAAGAAGTAGGGAGGTGGGGTCTGTGATTGAGTGTGTGTTGTCATGTGGGGCTGGATCTGGGGGTAAAATGTGTAAGTACTGATGGACTATTAGTGGTTTTGCCTCTCCTGATGCATAAAGAAATACTAAATATTCATGTGAAAAATTAAGCTCACCCCTCAGAAATAATGAGTTTAATAAATGATTTAGATATTCTACAAAAAGCAAGAGAAATTAAACTTCCTGGAAATGGAAAAAGAAGGGCCAAGTGGTTTTTGAAACTTTGGTTGAAATAGTGTTTGAGCTCTACTATAACTCACAGAACAGCTCCATCTGTGCGGTGCTTGAGGGCTTTCTTTCACATCGAGCCTACTTAAAGTGTTGGGCCTGAAGGTTGGTAGACAAACATGAGCTCAACTGTACACATGTGGATTTAAGGAATTGGCGAGTGATGCTGGATGAATTCTTCATGAAAACTGAAAGTTTGCTGTGCAACTGTGTCACCATATAATGGCTTATTGTATACAACATTTTACTGTAAATCTGATGATTGAGACAATTCTCTTGCTGTTTTCAGATGTCCCTCTAGTGGTGCTGCTGACCAAAGTGGACAAAACATGCCCAATCTTGGAAAAGGACTTGAAGAAAGTGTACCGCAGCTGCTACATAAAGGAGCTGGTGAGTTTCAGGGTCTAACATTGTAATTGGTCCTAAAGGCTATGCAGATGTATTGGGATATTATTGGTTGGAAACCTGCAGTAGGACCCTGGACTAGAAAATCAACAAAAATATGGTAGAAGGTATGTAGGAGTGACCAGCTTTGGCCAAAGGACCTCAGTCTCCTCAGGAATTATAGAGGCCACTTTGCCCCTTCTTGTTCACAGCCTCCTTCTTAACCCTCCACTCAAAGCAGTTGTTTAACTGCCCCCGATAGGTACTATAAGTCTTCACCATCTCCAACATCAATAGCAACAGGTGCCAGTGGGAGAACACCACACAGTTGCCCTGCACATTCTTTCAGTGACTTGGAGTGGAAAGCATAAGGTCCAGTGGCTTTACCTTCCTTGAGTTTCCATAGTTCATTTATCATTTATCAATGGCTGGTGATGAAACACAGCAGTGTGGGCAGATGGAGGTGGTTTAGCAGCACGGCTGTATGAGCTGCTCTGTCATCACACCTGTTGAAGAAGTGTTTTAACTTGGTGGCCCTCTCCTGGCCGCCCTCCATTGATTTGCCAGTGGTCTGGTTAAAACCTGTGATTTTTTTCCATCCCTCTATTACCTTCCTTTTATTCTGCCCCAGCTTGACCTCCAGATCCTTCTTTCAAGATGCATCTTCAATATTTAATTTTCTAAAACATTTTTTCAGGCAGCAAAATAACTCACCACATAGTACTGTGGTCTCTCACCACCAGAGTTGTGGGTTTGGTGTTACGGACCCTGGGCATGGTGCGGGCAGGAAAAAGAAGGTGATGATCCCACTAAAGGGGTGTATTAAACAAAACAGAACACAAAGGGAAACCACAAAATAAAAGGGACCATAAGGGATCAAAATAAAAACAGGAAAAACATAGATTAACAAACTAAAGCAACCATAACTCAACACAACTAGTGAGCAGGACTAGGAAAACTAAACAGAGCAGCATGCACAACACCTAATACAATGACTTACTGAAGAAGAGAGCAGGGCAGGCACTTAAATACACAGAAACAAGGAACAGGTGTAAGACAATCAATTCACCGATCAGCAAACACTGGCACAAAGAAATGACCAACAGGTGGAACTAATAACTAATGGGTACAGAAACTAAGGAGCCTTACAAATACCAAAACCTAGGAAACATTAATTGGGAGTTAAACACTAGGGATAAAACACAAGGATAATCAAATAGCACCAGAAAGGAACAGAACAAGAGCACAACCTAGGGCAAGAAAACTAACATGGAAAATAACACTGAAAAACAAAATCCATGAAATAACAATAAACAGGTGAAGCTGGTCCAAAGCCAGCCTTGAGCCCCCTGACCAGCAGGACTTACAGTTTGGATCCTGCCGTTACTCTCTGTGTGTGGAATATGCATGTTCTTATTGTTATTGTGTGTGTTATTTGTTGTGTGATTTTCTTGATACAGCAGCAGATGAAAATACACAAATACAAAAGAAAATGTATGTGAACTTCATGTCTCTCTGCAGATCGACAGAGCAAGTGAGTGTCTGGGCATCCCAGTCACAAATATACTTCCAGTGAAGAATTACTCAAATGAGCTTGAGCTGAATGAATGCTGCGACATCCTGCTTCTCACCGCTATGCAGAAGATGCTCCACTTTGCTGACAATCATTTTGACAATTTCGTTAAGGGCACAGAGTAGAGATACGCCATGAATTTTTCATATTTGGGTATTTGGGGGAAGTGCTATCTTCCCGGTCTGATGGTGTCACACACATGATCATATTTTTGTGTCCCACACCACACATTAGATCCATACTTACTGCATGATCGAAAAAGGCTACTTATTCACCTTTCCTTACACACAAGCCTTTTAATGACTTGGGTTGAAATTTTTCTTTTTACTCCAGACATGATTAATAAGTGCCTAAAACCAATATAAAATCAGATACACAATGCGACCTTATACTAGATCAACATATGCTAATTTAATAAAATAGGACCTGACGATTCCAGCATGGGTCCATATCTTTGCCAATCTGAACCATAGTTTGGTTCAGTGTTCTACATCTGTATTCTAAGTTTGCATAAGTTAGTCTGTCAGTTATATTACTTTACTGTAGGTTTTAAAATCATCAGCTAAAATGAATTCAGCTTGAAGGTCTTCATCACTGGAGTTTTTATTTGTGCTGTAGGATGCGTCACATTAATGTTCTTGAGAAGATCTTTTTCTAAGTGGTTAGGTTGCTAGCTTAAATGTACTTTTGCTCTTCTACTTGGACTTCTAACTGATTAGGGGTTTAAAATCACTGTTATCTTATGCAATATGTCAGGTAATCAAACTACCAACTTATATTATTTGCCACAGAGATGGGATGATAACCAAAGACCTACTGATAAAGGTCAAGGCTTTAGATCTACACTGAAAAAATGCTGTGTAGAATTTATTTAAATCCTTGTACGTTTTTCCACAAGCATTATATAAGTTAACTACAGCACTCTTGAGTAAAAGTTACCTAATAGTAAGCCTTAAAAATTACATGTTAAATATAAGGAAATTGAACAATTACCTTCTGATCTTGCATAATACATTCTTTGTTATATATATTAAATAAAACCTGAATTAATCAAATGTAACCTACTTCTTTAAGGTATGGAATATTACTTTGCATAAACATATTAATTAATAGTTATGGTACTAAAGTGATCTGTATTTTAGTCCAATGCTTTTATACTGAATTGTGTCATTGTAATACAAATCAATGTAGAACTACAGTATGCAAAATACAGCTCTATATTTAACATACAATATCACTGTAATTAATACCTATTTAAATCCACCCATAAATCTTTTATTTGCCTTCTGCACTAGTATGATAATAAAAATTGATACTTTATTGAAGGATTTGAACTGGTGACGTTCTAATTACAGACACGCAGACTTAGCCCACTGAGCCACAGGCTGGCTCCAAAGTACAGGTGCATAAGAATTCTGCCCTTTGCCATCATGCTCTCCATAGCTTGGGGGGGGGGAGGGGGAGGGGGTCACAAAGCAGGGTCACCCAGTGTATGGACCCCTGAAGCTGGGAATTAAGAACCCATGGACCTGTGACTGGTCTGCTGGGGCTTAAACTGGTGATCTTCTGATCACTGACAAAGAGACTTGGACTGCTGAGCCACTCACAACCTAAACTTACCCAAATTAAAAAAATGTTGGATGAAATTAATTTTTTTAAGACAGGTGGTTACGCTAAATAAACGGAGGAACAGATATACATTTTAAGTTGCAACTTAAAAATGTAGGCATTTCCCTCTCAGAAATTTTATGTTATATTAACTAAAATAATTTTAGTGGAGTGCAATTATTTATTTTTAATTAATTCAACAGCACCCATGTTCAACCTACTTAAATTTAATTTGTATGTCTGGTTGCTATTAACATATAATTTTTAATTAAATGCAACCTATAAGACCATTTCAATGACCAGTCTTGACCTTGTGGCCTTGGATAATGGGTATAATATGCAGAATGGTGTTAGGAGAGCTGTGACACCCTTTGCTGAGCAGCTCCTGGAACCGCCCACTCCCCTGTAGACCAATGGCACTGGAAGTATATATGCACAGCATGACATGGCACTGCCTTTTATTAACAGAATGCTGTTGAATAGGGCAATCGTACGAACTCCCAGTAATATCTAGCTAAGTATAATGGTGACTAAAGACACAGGAGCGTATCTTCGTGGGGTCTGCTCTTGTGTGCTGGTTAGTGGCTGGTTGAGAGTTTTTGGCCTCTCAGGGTGGATCATGTAAGGTTTACCAATGGGAAGGTGCTGTGGAATGGAAAACAGGACTCATTATTCTTACATATCATTAACTATTCTCCTGCTTCAAGAAGACATCAAGACCTGTTCATACTAAGCCCGACAACCCCATCTATTAAAGAAAATCTTGCAGGATTCCATTGCAGTTGCACATCTATAAGGATCACTAAAACACTGAAGGCAAAGGGCCAACTGATATACACCAATTAACACAGGCAACCCATAGGACACTGAAGAATATCTAACACTAAAATGTGGCATTCCATCCTAGATTGCAATGGGTCTCCTAAAATGAAGCTTAATAAAAATCTGAATATTAAATGAGCAAAATGATTTGATTTGTTCTTCTATCGCAGGTTGTGGTTTAAAAGCAATGAGGCTGCCACTGATTATATCTGCTGCAGGGAATGCACTTCTACAGCCACTAGGGGAGCTCTCAACTTCTCTCAGCCCTGCTAAATGATCTTGTGCAGTCTAACAAGCTTTATAATCTACGGAAACGTATTACTGCCACGACATAATTTAAAAAATATATTCTCACTATCACGTTATAACGTGAAAATATTACATTATAATGTGAAAACATCACGTTAAAACGAGAAATCGTTTGACGTTATAACATGAAAATATCACGTTATAATGTGAAACTGTATCACGTTAAAACGTGAAACCGTATCACGCTATAACATGAAAATATTACGTTATAACGAGAAAAAGAATTAAAAGTTAAATTGATCAGGGGCGGTGTTATGCCGAAAAAGGCATCCCTGTAGAATGCCTGTCTGTCTCGGGAGCGCGCACCACTGAAAACAGCGAAAAGAAAGCTTTCTAAAGTAACTTGTTTAAATTATCGTTTCTGTGTATGTAAACTAATAAAACGTATGTAACACATCATACGACATTGTAAAGCACTTGTTACATTGTAAGTATGTATCAGATGCACGGTAACACTTCTTGTCAAGAAAAAAAAAATAAATCTTTTTAAAACGTCTGGGTCTCGTTCTAATCTATGGCTGAAATAGCGCTTGCGTTTGCGCGCGCGCGCGTGTGTGTATGTCTGTATATATATATATGGCTAAAATACTGTAAATAGTGTTGCACCACTCAGATGACACACGTGCTTCATGCTGGGGTCAGTGCAAATGTAATGAAGTCATGAAGTCGGTGAGGGGATATATTTCTCATGTAGCCTACTTAGTACTTGATGATGGGAGCTGCAGAAATGCAAAATCAAAGGGGATGCCTTTTTCGGCATAACACCGCCCCTGATCAATTTAAATTTTAATCCTATCGGGATAGGTTTTCATGTTATAACGTGATGTAGTTTCACGTTTTAACGTGATACGATTTCTTGTTTTAACGTGATGTTTTCACGTTATAATGTAATATTTTCACGTTATAACATGATAGTGAGAATATTTTTTATTATGTCGTAGCAGTAATACACTTCCGTAATAATCTGTGTCAAGCAGCACTGCACTGTAAAATCAAATAAGTTGTCTTAGAGAAAGCGGGTAAACTATATCGACTGCGCGCACATTGCTATAAAGTCACCTTCAGAGAACGAATTTGCTTATGCTTATACACTCACCTAAAGGATTATTAGGAACACCTGTTCAATTTCTCATTAATGCAATTATCTAATCAACCAATCACATGGCAGTTGCTTCAATGCA